CACGCCACAGACTAATGTTGTGTTGGCTGGTGTGGGTTGTGTGTTTATGCCAGGTACCAATAAAGAGGAGTGTCAAGTGCATTCCCTCATCAGTGTCATATCTGCTCGTACTAGCTCTTACTAGCGCCCATAGTAACAAAGACGCTCAGGGCGTGCAGATCAAAATGGGAAGAGAATTGTGTGTGTGTTAAATACCAAGCTAAGAGATCTCTCAGACGAGTCATCTCAGTGAATTATTGCAGACGAACAGTAAGTTTGGAGATGGATTTCGTGAAATCGCTTCAGGTACATTCGTTTGTTTTGTGTGTTAGCATATTGTTGGTGTTTGCGTGCGTGCAGGCACGTGTGTACGTGTGCCTGGTTGTCTTTTGCATTACATATAAACTGTAGCAAGTTGTTGTCGATTGCAATAGTGTACGTTGTCAAACAATTGCGGTCAACTAATATCTTTCTATACCCACGGTAAAACAGTGTGAAATCTATGCACGCGTCGTTCTACGTACTGCCAAGATACTGGTCATATGTCTGTGTGCTCCAGGTCATGAAATGAGCCAAAATGTGAACAGGCCCACCCAAAATTTTAAACAGGCCCTTACAAGTTTGAACAGGCCATAAATTTTGTTCAATTTATTCCATTATTACTAAAAGTATTAACTTTGTGTTTATTAGGCATACTCGGAGTATTTCAGTATTTCATTGCTATCAGTGGAGTTCTACTTATTTGCCAGGAATTACTGGATCATGATTTACTTCTTAGTAGTCACTAAGTAAAAACTATAGTCAGGAAATTGGTAAATATTGTTGATATAAAGGCAAGATAGGCAAAATTTTGAATAGGCCAAGTGGACTGATTTATATGGGGGGTTGAACCGGTGGTTTAGGGGGTTGAACAAGCGGCCGCCGGCAAAATAGCACTAATTTCGCGCACTGTGCTCACACCATGTCCGTGTTGTCCAGAAGCTAGCTGTGTTTTAAACGCAGAGTTTTTATTTTTACTTCTGCAGAAGATCATGAAGGGTTCGTCGTTTGATGAGCGACGGGCTAGCAGCCTGCCACCCCCTCTGGTGGATAAGCAGGTGGCAAACTCTCCTTCGAAGGCCGCCAATAGACACATCATACCCAGCGACAGCATCACCGTGTGCAAGGAGCTTGGTGTGGGGGAGTTTGGTGTTGTTCAACAGGGTATCTGGACAAATGAGGATGGAGACAGGGTAGGAAGCTTCTCTCTTTATAACAATCACTTCCTAGATTATTTCGTAAAAGTATTATTCGAGACGGCCATGTGGAAGATAGGTCCACGCCAAGTTATTGTGTCTGTATCTAACATGTTTTACCGGCGTTAAATAAAGTTTTTACTTCCTTACTTACTACGTAATTGGATCATCTTTTTCATAACAGCATTTGAGAATGGTAATCGTGCATGGCATTTGTAATGGTATATAAGAATCACAATAGTGTAAGATTATTGATTATAGATATTGTCATTATAGAGGACAATTGTAATGGCATTTGGCAATCGTAAAAACATGACACTTGTAACGAGGCACACTAATTGTAACAGGGTATGGCACTTATAATGGCATATGACAATTGTATTTAGGTATGGCACAAGTTTGTAACAAGGCATGACACTTATAATGGCATATATGACAGTTGTATTTAGGTATGGCACTTGTAACAAGGCATGACACTTATAATGGCATATGACAGTTGTATTTAGGTATGGCACTTGTAACAAGGTATGACACTGATAATGGCATATGACAGTTGTATTTAGGTATGGCACTTGTAACAAGGCATGACACTTATAATGGCATATGACAGTTGTATTAAGGTATGGCACTTGTAACAAGGCATGACACTTATAATGGCATATATGACAGTTGTATTTAGGTATGGCACTTGTAACGACGAATGATACTCATAACAGCAAAATGGCATGAGAATTGTCATGACAATCGGCACAGTGTGTTGCGCTCATTCTAGACATTCTAGACTTGTTTTACTGTGATACTATCTCATTCACATCGACTTTAAAATGTTTGCTTTGTCCAGATCCAGGTAGCTATCAAGTGCCTCAGCAAGGAGCACATGCTCAACAACCCGATGGACTTTCTCAAGGAGGCCTGCATCATGCACACGATCGACAATAGACACATCGTGCGTCTCTACGGTGTTGTGCTGAACACGCGAGCACTTATGCTGGTAAGCCCTCCAAAAATCTTTGTTTGCCCTCACCCGACCAAGGCTGAAAAGTTTGGGTAGGTAGGTAGGCTTTTTTTGAGGGGGTCTTTTTACAAATTCAGTGTAGTGTTTACATGCCCGGGTGTGCTTCTGTGGAGATACCTTTTATGTTAAATGTTTGTTTTGCTTGGTATATATAATGTATTGCCTACAGATTTATATAATGTACAGTGATACAATTTGTAAAAAAAACAGAACGGGAAAGATCAATAAAATTGTTTGAGTCCGCCCCTTTATGGCGGGTCGGTCGGGTGAGGGCAAACAAACAATATTTTTATTATGGCTTACTAGCATGGCAACGTTCCACCGTTGAGTATTTATGCCCATTGCCCGGCAACTGTTGACTGCTGTGGGTATGGCGTCTACGATGATTTACGTGTGATTATTCAATGTTGAGTGACTTGCTGACTGGTGTAGTGGGGTTGTCAGTTTTAAGTAAGGTGGGTGAGTTGTTTACTGTTGTAGGTGAGTCATAAGTTGACTCATGTAGGCAGGTGACTGTTGTAGTGTGGTGAGTGAAGTGTATACTGCAGTGCTGTAGCCAAGTGAATAGTCAACTACAGTAATTGGTTTACTGTTGTAGGTGTCTGAGTTGTTTTGTGTTGTAGGTTACAGGCACTTGGAGCGTTTCAATAAAACATAATGCTAAATAAATACGAAATCTATTTACTACCAAAGTCTTAATGTTTCTCTACTCTCTTTCACCTATTTTTTGTGTGTGTGTGTGTTATTTTGTGCGGCAGCCAGCGTGTGTTGCAGATGAGCATTTGGACGGCATTTACAGGAAATTGTCGGCAATAATAGGTGAAAGAGAGTAGAGAAACATTAAGACGAACACAAGCATAACTGCTCAGTGTTGCAGTGAGGTTACAGAGTCGTTGATTGTTGTAGGTGACAGAACTTGCACCATTACGCTCGCTGCTGGAATGCCTCAAGGAGCCAACGCTGCGATCCAGCTTCCCCGTCTCAATCCTCTGCGAGTTTGCACTGCAGATCACTAACGGCATGCATTATCTAGAAGACAATCGACTCATCCATCGCGATCTAGCTGCTAGAAACGTCCTCGTCTTCTCTAAGAACTGCGTACGTATGTCGGAGCCGGGGGCGTAGGGCGTTCTGTTAGCACTGCCATCGCAGAGTCGCTTGAAGTTGTTTATGAAGCTCATTTTTAAAACTGTCAGTGCAGTGTATGATCATGTTCGTACACGATGTTTAGCAGTTTGATGTAATTGAGTCGGAAAGTTGTTTGTTTGTTGTTGATGTTTAGCAGGAAATCAGTTGATTTTTATTACACAACCGCATAAATTCAAAGAAATAACCAAAGAATAAATTGAAATAATAGGATATCAACGTGTGTGTGTGTTTCACGTATTATTGATTTGCTTACAGGTGAAGATCAGTGATTTTGGGCTTTCTAGAGCACTGGGTGTCGGAAAAGACTACTATCAGACCAATTTCAACGTAAACTTGAAGCTGCCGATTGCGTGGTGAGCGAACCATCTCGTGAAATTACTGTTGAAGGTTAAAATTAAAATTAAACTTCAAAACTGCAACAAACACTAGCGTGTGCATTTAGAGCACGGTAATTTTGATGAGGTATGTAGTTCGCCCCTGTAGATTCGGATACTCTGCCCAGGTGAACAACTACGAGTGAGACTGCATTGGTAGAGCGCTAATTTTGTTGATCACCCGCCACCGTTGCCGCGGTGATGTGAGCGTTTGTTACGTTGTACAGGTGTGCGCCGGAGTGCATCAACTACCTGCGATTCACGTCAGCCAGTGATGTGTGGGCTCTCGGTGTCACTCTCTGGGAAATGTTCTCCTACGGATTCCAACCATGGGCGGCGCTCACGGGACAACAGGTGTGTGCACACGTGGCTCCCTCTGTCTTATTCCGGGGTGCACCAGGGAGAAATACTCGTTTTTTCCGGAAATAGCTGAACGGTTCCGAATCGTACCAAGTCAGAAGGATTCGTTTTTTTTTTTTATTTAAAAAAAATATTTTTCTGTTTAGGGTTAGGGCTAGGGTTCACATGTATACAATACATGTGTACACATGTGTAAAAAATGAGTATTTCTCCCCGGTGCACGATTCCACCAATACCACACGTGGCGTCTTCTGCATAGTCTTATTCCGGCATGCGCCGATACCACACTGAGGGATTGGATGTTAGCACCTGTAAAGTCGAACACGTGTGGTGGGCAACGTATTAGCCAGCGAGCCGTGCAGCCATGATTTGCACAGTCAGTTTTGAAACTGCACTGCAAAAAAAGTGTAGCACGGCCTAAAATATTGATCTGAAGCCGTGTACATTTGTAAAATTGCACTCCCAAATATTTTTTCTGCAATTCCACAACACTCATTCCTGGCTAATACCCTGGTGGTGGGAACTGGGAATGCTGTGTAGGCGTGGAGTCAACCAATTGAATAAAAAAATTCAAAAATTCAAATTCAAAAAAATCTAAACCATTCAAGTAACTCATAGGTCCTTGAAAAAAGTCGGGCATGCATTGCCGCAGTGAGAAAGCCTTAGCATGCATGCGGAACCCAGTAAAAGCACCCAGCTCATAAAAACACGTCTGAGCCATGCTGCTGGTGTTTCATGTAAGAAGCCAGTAGTTATAGTGACTTTTATTGCTGGGTGATAAATGTCTTTGCTGTGACATAGGCGGTGATTGCCACATCAATTTCAATCTTTCTCAGAACTATTATTTTTCACATGGTATATATGTATATAATATAGTGTCATATACATAAAATATATAATACATTATAATATACTGATATATACATATATACATTGTCTGTCTGTGTTTATATTTATCCATTTATCCATATTCATCCATCATCCATCTGTCCATCCATCTAAATTTATTAGAATTTAAAAAAAGTCTGTTACCTCCCTTTCTATGTATACATATAAATATATATTTATTTGTCAGTGTGCGCGCAATGGCGACGGCGTGTGTTTACAGTTGAAACGCTTCGTATTAATTATGTATATAGATATAGACACAATAATATAAACCCAACACAGCTAGGGGTATAAAATTCAGAAAATACCAAGCACAAAGAACCTGC